ATTTCTCTCATGGGGTTGCTCAATTTCTTCTCTGAAGCCTGCAAAACCAAAAATGCTATTAATTTAAAAGTCACATATATACATATTTTTTTGGCACATATATACATATGATTAAACATTAATACTCATGAAACGGAAGTGGCTGAGAGATAGATACCATGGCGCTTCCGCTGGAAGATGTTACAGCAGCAGTAGCAGGGAGAGTTGTTGGGTACTGAGATGGCGGTAAAAAACCCTAATCGTATCTAACTTTATAAATGGTACGATATGGGCCGCAGCATGTGTCGGGTCGTGGCCATTTTCAGAATATGTTGGAAAAAACATAAATAAATAAAACATGTTATAAGAAATTATAATGGATGTCTATGTTATTCTATTATCTTACTCTCAAATGCTTAATGACATATTCAATTATATATTTCTTCATTTTTCATACTTATATAAAAGAATTGTAATAGATGGAAAGAATACACAGTTGAAGAAGAAATAAAATTTCCTCTCTTTCTCTCTATATCTCTTAGCTTGTTTTTCATTTTTCTATATCGTTACTTTGAGCTATATTTCATAACACGTTATCAGCACGAGACTCTACCGTCTCAAGAATATCTTTGAGAAGACTAAGCAAATATAGATATCTCTCAAAGCAAACTTGGATCAAAGTTCAATTGTAAAAATATTTGCTTAATTAATTCATGTACGACACATACAATATTCAAAGTGAAGAAATATTTCTCTCATTTAAGTATGTGTAAGGCACATGTTACTATAATTTCTGATAGTAGTAATCTAATTGAAGGCTCTGGAAGAGCTACTATAATTCTGCCTAATGGAACAATACTTATCATTGAGAATGCAATGTTCTCCTTCAAGTCCAAGAGGAACTTGTTGAGTTTTAAAGATATCCGTCGAAATGGATTTCATATTGAGACAATAGATGAGAATAATCTTGAATATCTCATCATTACCAAGAACGTCTCTCGCGAGAAAAGAGTTATTGAGAAATTCCCATATTTATCTTGTGGCTTCTATTGGATAAGAATTAGTGCAATTGGGGTACATTCTATCCTAAACCAAAAGGTTATTGATTCCAATACTTTTGTACTTTGCCATGGTCGATTGGGACATCCTGGATCAATTATGATGAGATGAATTATAGAAAACTCAAATGGACATCCATTAAAGAATTTAAAATTTCTTTTAAATAATGAATTTTCTTGCACTTCTTGTTATCAAGGCAAGTTAATTATTAGACCATCACCAACAAAGGTTGGGATTGAGTCCTCTGCGTTCTTGGAACGTATAAAAGGGGATATTTATGAACCTATTCACCCACCTAGTGGGTCGTTTAGATATTTTATGGTCTTAATAAATGCATCTTCTAGATTGTCTCGTGTGTGTCTATTGTCATCTCGCAACCTGCATTTGCAAAATTAATGGCACAAATAATTCGATTACGGGCACAGTTTCCCGATAATTCAATTAAGTCTATTCGACTTAATAATGCTGCTGAGTTTTTATCCCAAGCATTTAATGATTATTGCTTATCAACTGGGATAAAAATGGAACATCATGTAGCTCATGTTCACACTCAAAATGGTCTTGCAGAGTCTTTGATTAAACGTCTAAAATTGATAGCAAGATTGTTACTCATGAAAACGAGATTACCCACTTGTGTTTGGGGTCATGCCATTTTGCATGCTGCAACGCTAGTTCGTCTTAGACCGATAAATTATCATAAATATTCCTCGTTGCAATTAGTTTTGGGTCATGAACCTAATATATCCCATTTAAGAATTTTTGGGTACGCAGTATATGTGCCTGTAGCACAGTCATATCGCACCAAGATGGGACTCCAAAGAAGGCTAGGAATATATGTTGGGTTTGAATCGCCCTCCATTATTTGCTACCTCGAATATTAACGGGAGATTTATTTACTGCTCGATTTGCAGATAGTCGATTCGATGAAGCATTGTTTCCAAAATTAGGGGGATAAATTGGTGAAATCAAACGAGAAATTTCATGAAAATCCATCATTGTCTCATCTTGATCCACGTGCCTCTATATGTGAAAAGAGGTGCAAAAGATTATTCATTTGCAGAAAATAGTAAATCAAATACTAGACGCATTTACGGATCTGAAAAGGATAACGAAATCATATATCCCTGCAGAAAATGTTCCAATTTGTATTGATGTCTCTGCTGGACAATCTTCTAGTATCATAGCTAATGAGTCAAAAGCACGCCTAAAGCGTGGCAGGCCATTGGGTTCTAAAGATCGAAATTATAGAAAAAGAAAAATAAATTATCAAGATGACACTGCGAATGAGTCTCATAGAGAAACCCATGATTTAACCAATCCTGAGATTCACGAGGAAATCAATGACACTAATACTCAAGAAAATAAGGAACTATCAATAAACTCAATCGATATTGAGATAGATTTGAATCGATTGAATATAGTTGTGGATTATGTCTTTGTATACAATATTGCATCTAGCATTATGCAAGATAATGAGTATCTTGAATCTCAATCCATTGGATAATGTCGACAAAGACGTGATTGGCCAAAATGGCAAGAACCAATCCAATCTGAGTAGGATTCACTTGCGAAATGTGAAGTTTTTGGGTTTGTAGTCCAAACACCTAAGGGTGTTAAACCTATTGGCGATAAATGGGTCTTTATACTTAAAAAGAAATGAGAAAAATAAGTTACAAAGATATAAGGCACGCCTTGTTGCACAAGGATTTTCACAAAGGCCTGGTGTCGATTATGAAGAGACGTATTCTCATGTTATGGATGCTATAACATTCCGTTATCTCATTAGTATTATTGTCCATGAATAGCTTGACATGCATTTAATGGATGTGGTTACAGTCTACCTTTACGACTCACTTGATAATGAGATATACATGAAAATTCCCGAGGGATTTAAAATGCTCGACGTACATAATTCAAAGTCCCAGGAAATGTTTTCAATAAAATTGCAAAGATCTTTGTATGGTCTAAAGCAATCAGGAAGAATGTGGTATAATCGCCTTAACGAGTATTTATTAAATAAAGGTTATATAAATGATGTCATTTGTCCGTGTATTTTTGTAAAAAAAACAACATCGGAGTTTGTTGTACTTGCTGTATATGTTGATGGCATAAATCTTATTGGAACCCCTACAGAACTCCAAGAGGCAAATGATTATTTAAATAAGGAATTCGAGATAAGATATTTCCGAAAGACAAAATTATGTCTTGGTTTGCAAATTGAACATTTGGCAAATAGAACTTTTATTCATCAATCTGCCTACATAGAAAAGGTATTAAAACGATTTTACATAGATGAAGTACATTCATTAAGTACTCTGATGATTGTTTGATCACTTGATGTGAATAAGGACCCGTTCCGACTTCAAAAAAAGAACGAAGAATTTCTTATTCCTGAAGTACCATATCTTAGTGCAATTGGTGCACTAATGTATCTTGCTAACACTACAAGGCATGACATAACTTTTTCAGTTAATGTCTTAGCAAGATATAGCTTTGTTCCTACAAAGAGATATTAGAATGGAATTAAACACATATTGCGGTATCTAAAAGGGACTACCGATATGGGTTTATTTTATGGTAATGATTGCAGTCCCGATCTTGTTAGTTATGCCGATGCTGGGTATTTATCTGACCTACACAAGGCTCGATCTCAAACTGCTATGTGTTTACATGTGGAGGCACTGCAATATCTTGGCGATCGACTAAGCAATCAATCGTGGCTAATTCATCTAATCATACTGAGATAATTACTATTCCTAAAGCAAGTTGAGAATGTGGATGGTTGAGGTCTATAATACACCTTATTCGAGACAAGTGTGGTTTGAAATATGATAAATTACCCACAATTTTGTATGAAGACATTGCAACATGCATAGCCCAATTTAAATGAGGATTCATAAAAGGAGATAGGATAAAACATATTTCACCAAAGTTATTTTTTACACATGATCTTCAAAAGAATGGTGATATTAATGCGAGCAGATCTGTTCAAGTGATAATATGGCTGATTTATTCACCAAATCTCTACTGACGTCAACCTTCAAAAAACTAGTATACAAGATTGGGATGTGAAGGCTCAAGTATGTGAATTGATACTCTCGTCGGGGGGTTAATACGCGGTGTACTCTTTTTCCCTTATAAGGTTTTGTCCCACTGAATTTTCCTTGCAAGGTTTTTAATTAGGCAACCAAAAAACGTATTTCTAAGCATGTGTACTCTTTTTCCTTCACTGGAATTTTTTTCTAGTAAGGTTTTAACGAGGCACATTATCTATGGACATCCAAGGGGAACTGTTATAAGAAATTATGGTGGATGTCTATTTTCCTCCATGATCTTCCTCTCAAATGCTTAATGCCATATTTCTTCATTTTTCATGCCTATATAAAGGCATTGTAATAGATGGAAAGAACACACAATTGAAAAGAAATAAAGTATCATCTCTTTCTCTCTATATCTCTTAGCTTGTTTTCCTTGTTCTCTATTGTTACTTTGAGCTATATTTCATAACAAAAAATATGTAAAATATGAAATTACATTCCTCAAATGAACGTTTGCCCACCAAAAAAAACAATTGTCAAAATATTGTTTGGTTATGTATTGGACTGAAGTTTTATAAATTTACAAAAACTAAAAAAATAAAATAAAAATTATAGATGAATTTTAAGTAGAAAAAGTTTATCACGTTTTCACGTAAATAATATTTTTTCCCATAAATTTATAATACTTTTTAAGTAAAATATATGCCCAAACATAATTGTAATTTTTATTTTTTTTTTTTCAACGTAATTCATATACTATTTCTTTCAGTCTCACATTTTTACTAGCTCAATTGATTGACTATTAGTAGCCAGGACTCCATTCACCATCTTCTCCCTTACTGTTTTTTCCCTTTTTTCCCTCCCTTACGTATAGTAAAGAGATTTATAAAATTGTTCGAAAATTGTCCCAAAAAATCTGTTACACATTTTACCTATGTGACATTTTGCCTCCCATCATCATTCACATTGAAATTAGTATCCCGTCTCAATCCAGAGTCCGGAACGAAAGTGTTATTTTTCTTACTCAAAGAACAAAAATAGGTCTAAAGACATCTCGTGACCATTTTATGTATAACGCATGAATTACATGCGCTATATCTTAATGGCACATTTGTCCTGTTAATTGATTAACCCATAATAATTGATGGGTATAATGCATAAACTATCATAAGCTCTACATAATGTTTGTTAGAAAATTTCTAAATACAAC